CTGAGCCATTTCTGGGCAGAACGTGGCAAAACGTAACCTACCATAATATACCAGTAACAAGTGCGAAACAATGAGCACAAAGACAACAAGCGGGAAATGCAAGTTAAAAAACCTACAACCACTGTATAAGACGCACCCAGTTTTTAGACCCCAAATTTTTCTAAAAAGGGTGCATCGTATACATGGGGAAATACGGTAAATGCTTTTTCTTCTTTCCTGTATTGCGATTACATGTTTGGTTTTCCTTTTTATTCTGTTACAATGAGTTGTATCAATTCATTTTCAAATAAATCATTGTCCCATTTCTAAGATACACCCCACTTAGAGTGCATTATACTTTTTATATTTTGTTCAATTCGATTTGCTGATATTTTGTTGAGGATTTTTGCATCTATGTTTATGAAGGATGCTGTATTTTTTTTCTTTCTTTTAATGTCTTTTTCTAGTTTGGGTATGAGGGTAACACTGTTCTTATAAAATGAATTGGGAAGTATCACCCTGCTTTAATTTTATAGAAGAGTTTGTGTAGAATTGGTATTAGTATTCCTTAAATGTTTGATAAAATTCTCCAGTGAATCCATCTAAGTCTGGTGTTGACTTTGTAGGATGGCTTTCAATCACAAATTCAATGTTATTAATAGTTGTAGGACTATTAAGGTTATTGATTTCTTCTTAAGTGATCTTTGGTAGTTTGTGTCTTTCAAGGAATATGTTCATTGAATCTAAGTTGTTGCACTCTTTGACATAAAGTTGTTATTCTACATTTAATGTCTGTAGGATTGATAGTGTTGCATCGTATCTCACTGGTCACATATTGATCATTTGTATATTTCCTCTTGTATCTGATCAGTGTGGCAAGAAGTTTATAATTTTATTGACTTTTCAATTAATCAGCTTTCAATTTTATTAATCTTTTCTTTCTATTTTATCAACTTCTGCTCTTACCCTATTTTTTCATGGTATCACTCTTTGCTCAGAAATCTACTTTGTCTGATATGAATATAGCCACTCCAGCTTTTACTTCTGCCATGGTACATCTTTTCCCATCTTTTTACTTTTAATTATTTATGTGAAATGGATTTCTTATAAATGATATATGATTGGTTCCTGTTTTTTAAAAATCCAGTCTGACATTCTCTGCCTTTTAATTGGTATGTTTAGACTATTTACATTTAATGTCACTATTCATGTAGTTGGGTCTAAATCTACCATCTTGCTATTTGTTTTTTATTTGCTTGCTCTTTGTTCCCATTCCCTCTTTTTCTGCTTTTTTTTGGATTAATTTCATGATTTCATTTTATAACTTTTTTCTGGTTTTGTTTGTTTTTACTGGTTACATAGGTGAACAGTATACATCCTTTTCTTATCACAGTCCACTTTCAAGTGATTTATACCACTTCTATCCTTCTTTCCCTTTTCTGGCCTTTGTTCTATAGTTGCCATGCATTTATTTCTTATATATGTTATAAACTCCCCAATTATTATTGTTATGTTTACTTTAAACAATCAATTATCTAGTAAAGAGATCTACAAAAATAAGAAAAGTATTTTGCATATATTTATGTATTTACTATTCTCAGTGCTCATCATTTCTTTGTGTCAATCCACTTTTCAGCCTGGTTTCATTTTTCTTCTGCCCAAAGGACTTCCTTTAGCATACTTTGTACTACACGTTGCTGATATGAATTCTTCAGGCTTTGTATGTCTGGAAAAGTTCTTGTTTTACCTTCATTTTTTTGTAAGGTTTGCTGAGTAGAGAATTCTTTTTTTTTTTTTATTGTTAGTTTCAGGTGTACAGAACAATGCAATAGTTACCCTTTTCACCCTCACAAAGTAACAACCCCCCTCCCCCCATCCACTGCCCTCCCACCCCCGATATCATGCTTGTCTATTACAATTCCATTGAATCCGTTCCCGCACTCTACTCCGTGTCCCGAGGTTATATGTATATATAATTATAGTTGACATACAGTATTATTCAACATCAGTTTCAGAAATACAATGCGGTGGTCAGGCCTCTACATCAACTATGAAGTGGACTCCCCAAAAGGGCATTGGTCCATCTGGCCCCCTAAGAAATGCTTACAACGTTATTGATTGTATTCCTCGGACTATCTTTTTCTATCCCTGAGGCCATATTGCAATTACCAATTTGTATTGTCTCATCCCTTCCCCTCTCCTTCATCCCCACCCCCTCCCAACTAACAACCCTCAGTTCTTCCTCTGTGTCTCTGAGACTATCTCCATCCACTTCTCCCATCCATTCAGTTCCTTAGAATCCACGTATAAGTGAGATCATATGATATTTGTCTTTCTCTGACTGACTTATTTCACTTAGCATAATGTTCTCTAGTTCCATCCATATTGTTGCAAAGGGTACTATTTCCTTCTTCTTTATAGCTGAATAATACTCCATTGTGTAAATGTACCAAAGTTTCTCACCCGGTCAGAATGGCTATCATCAATAAATCAACAAACAACAAATGCTGGCGAGGCTGTGGGGAAAAGGGAACCCTGGTGCACTGCTGGTGGGACTGCAGGCTGGTGCAGCCATTATGGAAATCAGTATGGAGGCACCTCAAAAATCTGAAAATGGAACTACCTTACGACCCAGCAATCCCACTCTTAGGTATTTATCCAAAAAATCCCAAGACATTAATCCAAAAAAATATATGCACCCCTATGCTCATTGCGGCGTTATTCACAATGGCTAAGACTTGGAGTATAGAATTCTTAATTGAGAGTTCTCTCAAATCCTGTTCTATATTTTAATGATATAGTTTCACTGCCTTCTGATTTACATTGTTTCTCACAAGAAGTCTGCTGTAATTCTTACCTTTCTATATACAAAATGTGTCTTTTTGAAAAACTGCTTTAAAGATTTTCTCTTTATCACTGGTTTAAAGAAATTTTTTTTTATTATGTGCCTTGGTATAGTTTCCTTCATGTATTTTTTGTACTTTGGGTTTTGAGCTTCTTGGATCTGTGGGTTTATAGTTGTCATTAAATTTGGAAAATTTTCCACCATATTTTTTTCCAGAAAAAATTTTCATGTCTTCTTTCTCGCTAGGACCATAATTTCACTTATATTAGGCCACTTGAGGTTGTCTCACAGCTGAATGATTCCTTGTAAAATTTTCATTCAGTCTTTTTTCCATCATGTTTCGTTTTGAATAGTTTCTGTTGCTATGTCCTAAAGTTTATTAATCCTATTATTTTAGCTCTATATCATGAGAAATTTAATGTCTTTTCCACCTAATAAATGACATTTAAAAAATATAAACTCTGGCACATTTAGTCTTTATGATACGATGGTAATTTCCCATTTACTGTACTTTTTATGGTATGTTTCATCTTGATGACTTAAAATACAATTGTGATTCTCATTGACTTAATTAAATAAGGTATTTTCATCTGGCCTCTCCCTTTCCATTTTCTCTTTAGTTGAGCTTTGTGAGAAAACAATTCTTTTGTTAGTTTGCCGAATGAACCTTGAAACACATAGTGCTCTGCTTGTTGTCCTGTTTTCAGTATGATCAAATGACTTTAAACCATGTTTTGGTGGTAGATAAGACTTCCCTGCACAGGAGAGTATAGTCACAGTGCCATGCCTCTCTTGAAGAGCTAGAAATTGAGAGAGCCTTTGGGTAGGCTGTGGAATGTGTATTTCTTCTTTTTGAGCTTAACACTGTCATGCAGAGGGTTTTCTGGGTATCTCTCTCCATGTGGAGACAAGCAGTCTTTGCTCCAGGTAGAACGTGTCACATCCGCACAAAGCTTTGGGCTAGAGTATGGATCTCTCAAGACACTTGGTGTACTAGGACCAGTCTTAGGGTCCATGGGAGCAAGCCACATCTATTCAAGTTGGAAGCTTATGTGCAAGTAAAACTGTGTATAATCTTTCCTGTGATAGCTCTTTGCTTTGCTTCTCCTTCAGTATTTAGTTAAGTCTTTCAAGATTTTCAGCTTTCCTTAGCTGGGCCAATGGGAACCAAGGGAAAATATTTTTGATTAATCTTGGCAGCAACATGAATGGAGAGAAATCCAAAATGTAGGTAAATTTCAGGGGCAAAGGAGTTACGTGGTTGATTTACCTTCCCCACCTTTAATAAATATCTCTTTTCAGAACTACCTTTGGAGGATCCGCATTTTGCTGGATGGGGATAAGGGAGCGATTCTCCTGGCAAGATTCTTTACTGCCTTCTCCCTTCCTCATCCCTTCACCAACATATACGTTTTCTCTTTGTTACAGACCTTTGCTGTCAAATAGCTGGCAACGAATAACTAAGATACTAATTGAAAGAAAATTTAAGGGTTTCTTCCGCTCAAAAGGATATTTGTATTTTAAATGCTAACCCATAAAGACTAAAGGCTTTTCTGTTATTAAAGGAATGAATACTTAATGATGGAATTTCAGGTCGAAGGAGATCTAATGGAAACTAGGATCCTGACAAACTGTACCACTGTGCCTATAGATTTTTATGCCAATATACATCTCTCTTAATTTACCCCAACCTGGGTTTTTTAATGTACTCTTCAGAATTAAAATTTAAGATGATTATTTTTGGGAAATTCTATCTATACTCATATATCCCAATGAAAATCTATTAACTTAAACTCTGAAAAAGATTATAAACTATGTACTTAGGGTAAACATCTATAAAAAATATATTTGTCTGTCAATGAGTTAAAGCTAAGGTGAATGACCATAACATATGAATGTGAGCTGTGTGCTGTCATGGTTTGTCTGTAATACTAGACTTGATTTGTGATATGTGCAAATCACACATTCCTAAACCAACGTAATAATTCTCTGTGAATTGTATGTTCCTATTAGTTTTGAAATGGTTATGGTATTTACTTCTCCCTCCTTCACCTTATTTCAGAAAAGATTTAGAGGGCTAAAATGAGTAAATTTTAAAAAGTGCCCTTTAGAACACTTATATATTTGTGATATGTGAGATCTTTATTTTCTAACGTTATTAACATTTGACTTTTAGGTATTCAGAGGATGACTATCTTCAGATTATCACAAATATACAGAGCTGCCCATGGAAACGACAAGTAGAAGAATATGAGAATTTTAGGTAAAAATTTTCTTCATAAATAATATGATATAAAAAACCTTTTGTAGGGACAATAAGCAACATGTTTTAAAATGAAGGTACAAGGAGTCCAAGTGGCAATCAGGATGATTTTATTCTAAGACCCTCTCAAGAGGCACATGGCACTCCATCCCCGTCTCTTATATAGAAATTTGCAATTATGTTACTGGAATTAATTACAGAAATTCCAAGTTCAGAAAGAAAGTTGTTATACTTTTTATTATGTTGTAAAGGGTGTTGCTTCTTTGTACCATTTGTCTTTGAGGTTTGTTTATTTTATAAATAAAATGTAATGGCATTAAAGAATGTTTGGAAAATCTAGAAGGGAAAAATCACCCATAACTCCATCAGCAAACTCTGTGTCCTTTTCTGCATATTCTCTTACAGTTTTTCTCATTACCTTTCTAATACCGGCAACGTTGAGGAGTGTGATTGCTCCAGGTAATAACCCAGGGAGGAGTTAACAACCTCACAAGACCAGGTTATCAAGCGATCATTATAGAGCTATCCTGTGCTTGGATAAGTTGGAGCCCAACCAGATAGAATAAATTATGTTAGGACAGTAGGCTTTCCCCAGGGGTTGGGAGGGGTGTGCATGGATACTTATCTGGCACCACTTCCCCCCAATACCTGCTCTTATGCGCATCTAGGCCAGTTGTCTTTGTGCTGCAGCTAAGTCTGCATTGCTCTGCTTTTCTTGGCTCACATGATTCTTCGTTGTGTATCAGTCCAGCTTTTATCCCAGTCCAGAAATATGTTTTCATCTTTACTGGTACATATTTTCAAAGTTTGCTTTAAGTATCAAATATTTAAAAAAAAAACAACAACCTTATGAAAGAGACTTTGCTTTCCCCTAAGAGTCTCTAAGAAGTATCTGCTGCTTTGCTTTCTCGACTGCGGGAAGGCAGCTGTTCTCCCTTGAGTGATGCTGTGGCTCTGACTGTCCCACCTTCAGTCAGCATATGCTGGAGGCATTGGACCAACTGCCTTTGAGTTGCTGCCCGTGAGAGAGGGATTCTGGTCTGTTCCCATTGGGTGAAAGAGTAACTTCCTGATTGGGGGAAAGCTGAAAGTGACTATCTTCCCTCCACTGGGTAGACACATGGCTGTCATGGCTTCCTGTGGGATGCCACGGGGCGTCTTTCCTGTCACTTCAAGGTGAGGGATGGGAAAGGAGATTCCTCTTTATTCATTTCCAGGATATTTTATGTTACACAGTCTGCTACAGATTGAATGTGTCCCCTCAAAAGTCATAAGTTGAAAACCTAATCCCCAGTAAAATGGCATTTGGAGGTGGGGCCTTTGGGAAGTGATTAGGTCCTGAGAGCGAGGCCCTCATGAATGGGATTAATGATTTTATAAGAGACCCTGGACTGCTCTCTTGTGCTTTCCATCATGTGAGGGCACAGCAAGAAGACACTGTCTGGGAGCCAGGAAGTAGGTTCTCACTAGACACCGAATCTTCCAGCACCTTTATGTTCGATTTCCCAAACTTCAAAACTGTGACAATAAACATCTGTTGTTTATAAGCCAGCCAATCATAGTGTTCTGTCATACCAGGTCAAATGGATTAAGACACGGTCCTCCTTGAGACTAGATGTAAGAGGTTAGAGACGGGGAGACCCGATAGAAAGTGGCACAGGCACCCGTAACCTAACCGGTCACAGGGTCAATGAATGACAGAAGAGGCTCGTTCTGAGAGCCCTGTCTCCATGTGCAGGACGGGCAAGAAAGGAAGAAGGGAATGTTGAGGTATTGAGATACTGAGGATCAATCCAAGTTAATTAGCGGGAAAGACTTAGGTGAATAGTGGTACCAATAATCAAAATACGGATAAAGGAGTTCCTGCTTACAGCTTTGAAGTTGATTCGGATCAAGTCTCTGAGAATAATACAAGTAAAACAAAGTGTACTCAACACCTGTTGGAGAGCATTGGCGAGCTGCCAAGGCAGGGGGGATGTACAGGACTAAGATCCAGAAGAAAGGGAACCCGAGGGAGCGAGCCCACCATTTGGGGCTGCTTTCTCCCACAGGGAACTGGCCAAGTGCTAAAGCAAAAGGCATGGCTGAGAGGCCGAGAGGCTGAGCAGAGCTGCCGGCCACCCCTAGAAAAGTCCACTTCTCTCCGAGACTGAAGCTCACACTTCAATCATTCCCATCCTCAATCGGATTTAGATCTGCCCTTGCCTAGATGCCTGATAGCAACCCAAGTCCATCCTCGCTGGGAGAAGGTCACCTCATTCAGAGCCTTACATGATCTGTGCAAGTGTTCACACACAATGGCTCAATTTAAAAAAGAATTCTCTTGAAAGGCTTTTTTTTTATCTTTCCTATTTTCTTTAAAAATGAAAAGGAGTCTCTTGAAATCGAAAGCTGCATGTGAGTCACTGTGGCAAATTGTAATGGGTAGAAGCTGTACAGATGGATGGTCTGTGCACAGAATGGCCATTTTCCCTTTTGTACTGTTGCGGTATAAAAAGTGCCTCATGACGATAACTCAATGGCCTGTCTGTCCCTTTGGGGCTAATTTAAGTAAACATCTGGGACTATAACAATTATTGCTTATTGTCATCCAAGAGAACAGTCATGGCACTATTTATTTACTTGAATATTTATTTTATTGTAATGTGCTTTTTATGGGCATATTAATAAACTAAATTAGATAAACCCTCAACAAAAGTCTGTGCAATTGTATCATAATAAACCACCTATGTTCCTAAAATATTTACTAATATAGCTGGCTGAGTCTAGGGAGTTTCTGGCTTATTTATAAAGTGGGTGTTACAGAAATGTCCCCTATTATTATAGATATCAAGTAGCTAAATAGATTTTTTATTTAATGCACAGCATTTTGTACCAAATTGAAGAAAAGTGAAACGTGAGCTTAAAAAGGTGGTAATATTTTTTTAGCAGGAATTTTAAAAAGTTACATTAAATTCTGAAGAATATGAACAAATGAATAGTTTGTAAATCCAACTGCAGCCTGATGGCTGAAACTTCCAGCAGTCAATACCTAGGGGCTATTTGAAAATTATGGGACTTATGTGGTTACCTGATTTAAAAATAAGAAACTTTTTAAGAGTTAATTTTCTTAAACAAATAGGCCACTTGCTATCAGAGGGGATACATTTTATTTATCAACAAATATTTGTTGAGGGTTTACTATGTCAAAGCACAGGCAACCTCTTCAGCCCGGTACAGGATGGGGTACAGAGTGGAACCTCAGTAAACATATATTAAATGAAGGGATGCATGAAAATAAACAAGAAAAATGCAAGGTTTTCTTGCTGACCTCAAAGAAATTGTAGTCAGTTTGCAGAGACAAAAAATAAAAGTACAAATATTTATGATTTAGTGCCACAATGAGTATTGTATACAAATACTGTAATATAGCAATACATGATAACCATGGGATATGATTTCTTGAACCATGTTATGGAGAGAGGCAGGACTTGGGCTGTAATTCTGAGGATGGATATAGAGGGAGGGAGAGACCAATACCAGGGTGGCGAGACCTGGAAAAAAACATGAGTAAGTTTCAGGAGCAGCCTCGCTGGAGCAGTGACCGTGTACTAGAGTGCTTGGGATAAAGGGGATCCTTAGAGATCAAAAGGGATGCCCCTGATGATGCACAAGGTTCTGATTATCAGAATGTAGTCCACAGGCTTTCTATAGATACCCAGACTCCAGCAGAGAGATTTCTATCAAGGGAATCACACGATGAATTTACTATTTTAAAGAAATAATGTTATGCAAAATGTTGCGCAGATTGGAATCTTAAAAGGGAGTGAATAGACTGAAGGACATCAGAGCAGTCAGGGGCTGGTTGTAGAAAGGTGACTAGAGTGATGAAGATCTAAAACAACAACAGTGGCTATAAAAATAGCAAGGAAGGAACACTTGACCGTGAGCTCCTTGGGGGCATGGTGTATTTTATTTATCTTTGTATCTCCAGTGCCCATGACAGAGATGGTACCCAATTAATAGCTGGAGTACTTGTATATATGACAGAAAAATTGGCAGGGCTTGGTTGCTTATTGATTCCTAGTTTCCTGATTGAAGGAGAAGAAAAAGAGTAGAAGACAAATGAAAAATGTTGGGTCTGGTTGATTGGGATAATAATGGTGCCACTGACGAGTGGAAAGATTTCAAAGAGAAATTGCTTTTGAGAAGAGGAGTTTATTCTAGACATGCTGTGTTTGAGCTGCCTTTGGGACAACCAGAGGCAGAAGATGTTTCCTTGGTCTAGGGTAAATATAAATGTTAAGAGAAGATGGACTTTTCTGAAAAAGAAAGGCAGCTGCTTTTAAAGTTACTTTCTGTAAGAAATATGGCCCTTGGAAAACCTATCTTCTCAGTAATCTTCCCCCGCCCCCACTTAACAGTATTTGTCCTCTATAAACAGTATTTATAGATTATTAAGTTTTTACTCATTCAACGCTTAATTGGGAGTCTGAGAACTTGTAGCTGGGGTTTGTGTCCCTGACGTCTCACAGCCTTCCCCTGGAAGCAGCTGACGTCCATGTCAGTGGTCCCATGAAGCCCTTGAAATTATATGTGAAATTGTGTTTCTTGGAAAAAGATCCCTACCTATCATCAGATTCTCAAGGGGTTTAGGACCCCTGAATAGACTAAAATAGTTCTAAGAACTCTTTTGAGCCCGAGGCTCTATTTACTTACAACACAGTGCAATAGTTATACTTTTTACCCCTCAAAGTGACAACCCCTCCTCCCCCAATCCACAGCACCACTCCCCCTCACTACCCCCCCATTACCCCCTTCTGCAATCATACATATCTATTACAATTCCACTGACTCATCCCGACATTTTAAGTTTGTTATAAATTGGCGTTTTTTGTGAGATCACAGTTGAACTTAGTTAATGAGGGATTTAAGTAAGAGTTAAAGATGTCCTATCCCCTCCTGTTTTTTCTATTGGCATCTACTTTCATTTACATATAGCTGTATCAGGTTGAGAATGT